CCAAACAGTAAAATTGCAATACACTCTCTCGATGCACGTTTCACTAACCAAGTAACCACTACTTGTATTGCAATTCTGGTGTTTGGGAGCAGTGTTTGTTTTGGATTTACTATACGCCTGCGGTTCCAGTTCTATAATTCACTAATTATTATGATAATTTGTTAATGCATCTTACCCCTAACTGTTATGGTAATAATCGATTGCTATGAGACCAAATAAGTGCCTAATTGCTACTTGTAATTCTAATGGAAACTGTGTGTCTCGTTAGAAAACATATATTGTGATATAACAACAATTATTTCCATTACAACAACAAAAATAACCTGAAACTGCCTATTCCTTCTTCCGCATTGATCAAGGATTCTGTTTTTATAACGGTGTTAAAATGTACAATCACCTGCCTGAATGCCTCAAAGAAGCAAATCTGAACATTGAATACTTCCGAAAAGACATCAAAGGAGTTTTAATCAGCAGGCCCTATTATAGCTTGCAGGAATTTTACGATGATCATCTCTAATTGATATTTCTTGTTTATTTTACTTATAACCCTTCAATCCCTTGGGATTGGACTTCTTCGGAAATGGTCTCACAACTGCACATTTCCAAGCGCCAGGAACGTCACCTTCACCACCGTATAGAAGTAAAAAACAGTAAATTCACTCCCGGTCGGCGCCTTTGATGTATCAAGTCGAGATTTTATTTTTTGCTGGCGTATGGCAGGGCAGAAGGTATCGGCTAAAACACAGGCTAAGAGCCATTGTGCACCTGTGCACAAGGTTCGATCAAACACGACCAGACCGAAATTATTTAAGAAAATTGTCCTCAACCACGCTAGTTAGTGGTATAACTCGCATTGAATTTCTTATAAAATGGACATAGGCTCTCAAGGTAGACAAGCGGACAACGACATAGCAGGCAGTGAACGATCATGATATTTTGATTTAAAAAACCGAGAGCACCACCCTCTAATGTTATTACCTATCAAGTACTCGTATCTCCACTAACTACATAATCGGTGTCGCCTGCATTTTGTAATAATTGCGTTTTTAGTATTATAATGGTATAACCGTCGGTGCTTTTGGTTTCGTTTCGAGGACAATCTGTTCCCGTTGGTGAATAATAGACGAGTTTCGAACAAATTCCTCTTAAATCAAAATATTTTTTTAAACAGAAATACGAATCTATTGTTGTGACTTTCTAAGTATTCATTTACTTTCGGTGTCGCCTGCATTTTGTAATAATTGCGTTTTTAGNAATATTAATAATCGTTTTTATTGACTGAAATACAAATGATATAAATACATAGTAATATAGCAATACGAAAAATATAGAAAATATAGAGAAAGCAATGTCAGTCAAAAAGCAGAGTTCAAGTCTAGCCGGCAGAAGAGACATATTTGTCATAATCTGGTATAAACCAGTTTCCAACGCTTAGTTTCGTTTGTTAGATTTCATCATCAACTTTATTTTTATATCCGGACCTGAATTGTAATATATAGCTGAATTTGTTATTGCAGTGGTTACAAAAATCGATGAAAAAACCGAGTTCCGTTTAAAAAACTAAGTTGATAATAAAATCTATTGAACAAATCGTCGCATTGCAAGTTGATTTATATCCGAATATATAAAATATGAAACAGTATTGAAAGTTCTTCTGCCTTTTTATATCATTCGAAATTGAGGTGGTAGAAATTCGATATTCGAAATTCGATAATTCTAGTTTTTGGGAAATATCTCGAAAACAACCTCTGATATTCTCGATCTGAAAAGAGACTATTCTAGTTCCAATTCTACCGGCCTTGTAGGTTCTACCTTTTCCAAGATAGCAATAGGTAGTGGAATCAGCTAAAAAACGGTTTGTATATATGTATATATGAATTATTAAGACATATCATATCTAGCAAGTGAATAAAAATCAAATTCAGAAATACAGTAGCAATTAAAATCAATCACAAAAACCACAGCAATGAATGGATATAAATACGAATAAACATGTTTTAATTCAATCTCAACAAACTGATAAATCAACCATATTGGGTGATACAAGTATCAATACTACTCATATTTCATCAAAACTACAGACCCAACTAAAATGTTTCTGGGCAATAGTGTGTAGTTTGTGGGCAATTTCTCGTAAAGAATAATCTTGTTAAACAATATTTTGGTAACTGGTCAATCCTAAACTGTAATATACGTATACGACAATTCGTGTATACCTCACCATACACATTTCTTACCAAAAGACGATTAATATTTGATTTTGCATAAGTGAATAGCATATCAGTCCTTCGTTCAGTTGAATACATTTAGAAAAAAATGTATGTAACCGAGTGCATAAACATCTGAAAAATATTGACAGATATCAACAATTCATTTATTTTTCCTGTTATAGAAACCAAGCAATTCAGGATTAAGAATTATAATAATATTCCGTATAAAAATTGATTCATGAGTAATCAGCCTTGAAAAAAAATGTATCGTATTTTCACATCCAAACTATTAGGTAATGTCTGAGGTATGCCAAACGTTAAATACGTTTTGAAGAAATCAAAACAATTAACAAAAAAATCAATGACAGGTCCTTAATTTGTAATTGTTGTTACTGATTATGCTAGTTATTTTAAATGAAACTGAATTATGCTTTTACTGCTTTATCAATATTTGTAATAAAAGAGACAGGTCCGTATTTGAAAAAAATGTGGCTTCGAATCCTTTTTGTGACTCACATTCAATATTAAAATACTGAAAGTAAAGGAAAATTAGTTGCATCATTCAAAAAATTGGTGATCGAAACACGTGTCGAGTTGTTAAAATAACGGTTTGGTGTTGGGAAAAACTCCAGTAATATTCATTTGTTAAATGTTATACACATACACCCAAAACACATCAATCAATATTTTGAAGAAGAAGAATAAAAACTGAAGAATCTACTGCACTCCACTTTGAGATATAATGGACTTCTACCAGAGGTTAAGCTGTAGGTATGTGTACGGAGTATATTTATATTTTCAAGTTTCAAACAAAAAGGTAAATATAAGCAAAAATTATATCAATAAAGAGATGGTTAATTTTTATTATGATACGAAGAGTGTGAAGATATTCGTTCGGCCACCTCTTCCAAAAATGTTGAAGCTTTTGTAGTACCTAATTGCCAAGAATTTAGTCTATTTGAATTCAATTGTGTTGAGTTTGGAACGGTATCTAATGAACACAATGGAAATGAATTCAATATTAGATACTACAGTCCGAGTCAACAGAATTCTTTGGAAGTCATTATTTGCTCTCCACTGATGATATAAGAGTTTCATTAATTCAGGAATTAGGTTTCGTAGTGAAAAAAGTATGGCAACAAATTTTATAAAAGATGAAAATATTCAAGATGGTGGAGAGGCGAACTTCTCTGTGACAGCTCCCTGTTGGAAATTGCGAATAGTTTTTAAAACAAGATATAGACAAAGCCAAGTGTAGTACCTGAGTATAAATATATATCATCCATAAAGTTCGTAAACTTGTACCTGAGAACATTGCAAACTGGTTTATATTAGATCATAACAAACTAGTTAAAAATATTTCGCTTGGACGAAGGTTTCATAATGCAGTCGAGCCGCGTTGAAATTGATCAAGTTCCAGACACTCTACTGTTTGGATCGGATCCTTCCTACACTGATGAGAGGTGATACCTCGGAACGGGTCTGTAGGTGATCTACTCGAATAATTTAAGCATGGCCCTGCTGCTGAATGAACGAGTACCATCTGGGAGACTAATCTCTGTGAGGTATCTAGTCAAAATGTCTACCAGATACAATTCAATATCTAGCGTGGTATTAGCCGGAGGCGACTTTCATTTGTTTGTGAAATGTGTCCTGGAAAAGGTAGAATTTTGTGATTTTACGCCGGAGCCACAATTTGCCTACGCCCGAGGTATCGTCATTAGTTTCTGCAAGGATCTCAATCTGTCTACTTCCGTCTGTCGGTCCACCCGTTCTGTTCTGATATTTATGTCCTTGGACGAGTGGACAGGGTGATCGGTAGTGGGAGCGAAGGTGGAGTTGGTTCACAGATCCTTTTATTTAACTGTCCAATTAGACACACCCCCAAGGTGGAACGATGAAACTCTCAGGACTGATGGAAATGCTCAAAATGTACCTACCACCTGAATGGGATCGGCCAAAGTGATATACACTGTCCGCCTCTCGCGATGGAACACCCCATTTTTACGGTAAAACATATTAGGGGGCAAAATAGGCTCAAAATTCCTTCAGATTTGTGATCATGACTACCAACTTACTACGATTACACTTTTTTCCTGAAAAAATTTCAGTCCTGAAAAATCCGAATTTGTTTCACTTCTCATGGAAACTCCCCCGTATCTTTCGACTGATGGAAATGCTCAAAATGCATTTACCACCTGAATGAACTTCAAGAATTTTTTTCATTTCGGGGGTGTGTTTAACCCTCTTGGACGGGGCCGAAGAGATTTGCCTTTATACCGAGTAAAGAAAATAATGATACAAATCATTCGTATCGATTTCAAATTGGCTTTTCGTTTCCATCCTATTTCAAAAATTTTTTCATTTCGGGGGTGTGTTCAACCCTCTTGGACGGGGCCGAAGAGATTTGCCTTGATACAGAATATACAGTATAGCTATATGGTTTCACGTAAAGGCACATCAGAAATCCAAAAAACATTATCACGATTTCGGTACGCTACTGACCATTCGGGTATTTCCGGAAAAAGAGCTGCTGACTTTGGCTGCTAACTTCACACCGGTGCATGCACAGTGGTTCAGGCAGTGAAAGATGAACAAGGACAGCCAAACCGCTTTCAATATGATAGAAAGAGCATCTGTTTAAAATCTGTTTTTCCGTTAATCAGCTGTGGCCCCCATACGAACGACAACGTGTGATTCCTAACACGGTAATTAAAATATTTCGAGAAAAACTTGAATATCTCTATTACTAGCTCGGATCAGACAATACACAGTGATAGCTAACCTGCTACCATCGGGACAAAACTAAAAAAACTTATGAAACAAAAACTAAATGGTTATTTTTTTTCAACAGAATAACCATTGGTAATAAATTATATAGTTAGTCCTCTATTTTCAGTCGAAGTTACTACTTACTAGTTGGGTTGAGCCTAGAAGGATTTTTGACTGTCCAAGAAGATAGAGAAGGGTCGGTCTTCTCCACCACTGTCAATAAGAAAAATTTTATCAATGGTGCTAGACATTCTGTACACTATAGAAGGGATTTCAAGGAATTTGAATTATACGTTGATAGGGAATTAACGCCAATGGCACAGATTCCTGCACAAACATTTACCAATATTCCTGAAAAGGGAGCCAATGAAGTACAGATTGGAGGCCATGACACCAATGATCCACGATTTGCCACGTACAAGAGATATAGCGGATGTTTATCAAGTGAGTTAACATATATTCAGAAGATATTCCAGTCATTATACGAATAATTCATAATTATGTATAATATCCATTATTCAGATATATTTATTGAGGTGAATGAACATGTTATGAAACCTTTGGAAGAATATATGCTCTTTACAAAAACTGGAACAGAGAAGGTCAATGTTTCAAACCAGCATGGCGTGAGAAGTGCTCAGTGCAGCTCTGACTTCGATAAAATCCATGAAAAAACTCCAGGGACAACAAATCTTAACATAAGTCAGGTCAGTTTTCAAATAGTTTCATAGGTTGAGTCATAAATTGAAATGATTTTTCAGGGTACAGATAAGACATGGGTTCAGGATGCACCGCAGAGGATTCTTTATACCTCAATATACTCTGCTACTACTGAAGAGGAAGATGGAAAAGAAAAACTAATTGTTATAATTCTGTCATCATTTTTTGTATTGGTTGTGATTTGTTGCACCTACCATGTATTCATAACCGAAAAGAAATATAGAGAGCGAAAGGAATTCGAAACGGATGCTAGTATTTTGTTATCAAAACAACAGGCCACACTTCTACAAGAAAACAACAAAACTGTGAGATTTATTTCTTTTACATTCATCACTGAAAAAATAATATTGTACTTTCAGTCTGAAGATGACAAAAAGTCTGTAAACCAAAATGGAAAAATACCACATGAAACTTCAAAAGAACCTACAAACAATGGGGACACTAAGCAGAATCTAAATGATGAAGAAGTTTCGATAGGAGAAATTATTTCTAAATCGGAAGAAGTTATTAAACCACTAACCAGGAGCGACAGTAAAAGAGAAAAGCACAAACGAATTAGCTTCAGGGGTAAGAATCATTTGTAGAAAAGAAACTGTGTTATTTATACCGATATTTGACTATACCGTGTCAATTAATCTATTAGACAAGTCATAACTACTAGAGTGTTGATATATCGATATTAAATTCAGTATACGAAAACCCTATATGAAGCTGATAAATAATATTCGCATATTTTTCACTTTTCGGTCCATTTTATTTTCGCCGGAAAAAGTTCAATATAATCCAAGGACTTCAGGTGATGTCAGCAAAATTACGATCCCAATGGTTCAATAACTGAAATGATAGTTGAGAATAAGACAAGTTAGCAAAATTACATTTTTGTGTCGTTTGTGTAAAAAAATAAAAAATTCAGCAAATTCAGTAAACTAAATTGACGAAACTAATGAAACTAACAGAATTATCTAATAAATAACTTCAGTTTTAATTATTCGAAAACACAATATCTGAATGTAATAAAAATTCCACTTCAGTGCATTCCTCCTTGTTTAAGAAGCATTTCATCTCGTTCGATTATTCCAACACGATTTGTAAAATTTGTGGAGCTATTCTTATATACCCTTAGAATTATTTCTTTTAGGAAAAGAATGGCTGGCGCTCTTGCATAGTTATCCAAATATTCTGTTTCCAGCCAAACCTTTCTTGAAAATTGCCCCGTTTCATTTCACTTATTTCTCTTAAAGAAACCGTTTCATTAACCTCAACTATACCAAGAATATTTCTGCATTCGTGAGAGTGGTATTGTTTTTATCCATTGAAATTTGTTGATGAAAAAAATTATGAAAATGATTTTGGATGAGAATGTTACTTCTTCAACTAATAGAATGATCATTCGAATGAATCTAAATTACCAAATTCAATGATACTGTTTCACCTGTTATAGATATTAAACTCGAAATTTCAACTTTCATCTCGACATTGTCAGTTGCCCCCCAAAGATGTCGCTTATCGATGCACTGGTAAAGTCAATTTTTCTGGTTGAATTTCCTTCATTTATCGATCCCATTACGTTCCATTCATTACTTGGGACACAGCGCAAAGCAGAGATGACGAGAGATTTTTCATTTTCAGTGTAACATATTTAACTAACTCCATTAGCTCAAGCATTTCATCATTGAGTCCGTTCGAAAGAAAACTAGAAATTCTGTTGTCTACCCTCTATTCAGTCGGCCTCATGTTATGTAACATTTTATAAATCCACGTCGGACCGAAAGGGAAGCCACAGTTGATGATAACTGCCTAGTCATTCTTGGCATTTCAGTTTCCTGTTTTTATTTCTAAATTTCGACTTCATTCTCGAAATTCATACCTACTGAAAACTGGAAAATTACGACTTTAACCTCGAAATTACGATTTTATTTTCGAATTTTCGACTTCAAACTCGGAATTATAACTTCGAATTCGGAATTTCGACGTCAAACTCGAAATTCAAGTCAAAGCTGATTTGATCTGCCTCTGATTTCTTGGGTGATAAACTAGACTGGGACAAGATTATATTTCATAAACTGCACTCCACCCATCAGTGAAAAATAGACCATTTTTGATTAAACCGAGCTCAGTTAGTCCATTGATGGTTAGGAAATCTCATGTTTGGACAAGTTGAATTTAATTGGTTTTGTTTTATCACATTATAACTCAACTGCGTATTTTTTCATTAATTTTTTTATCGATTCCAGAAAGCACTGGCGAACTTTCCTTAGAAAGTGCAGAAACTTTGAGTCCGATGCTTGAAGTAGATGAAGAGGACGAAGAATTAGTCGAAAGTAAAGCACCTGTAAGTCTTGATTTGAAACTATGCATCTAACAAACGATTTAGCATGCAATGTCCTTGTATTAATTTTCTCACGTTTCTTCATTCATATTGATGTGTGCTATTATACATTCACTAACAATTCACATCGAAACATATTACCCATTTTCTGCTCTCTACTTTTTTCAATACTGATAATATAAAGAATGGAATACCTCCACAAGAGCGAAAAAAACATGGATGGACATTCTTTGAAAAAATGTAGATTATGCGTAAATGTTTCCTTTAGACACAACTTGTTTGTGAATCATAAACCATACAGAAACCATCACTTCTCAATTCAGGTACCAATCAATCACAATGAAAATTGAAACAAGGCATTATTTATGAAAAATATTACTTGATAATTTCATACATCAAAGAAAAAATAGAAGTTTTTTCCTAAAAAATAATCTCTCGTGTAAATGATTGTCATTCGTATAATATAATTGCATATCACTGAGACAAAATATAGTCCCCTTATCATCATTTCATACATGGTAACTGTAATTGATTAACAATTCTTCTATGTTCAACTGAAGTTGAATACCCTAGCTTGTTTCATTTCTTCACATTATAAATCTAACAAATTATTTATTATTTTCATAGGTGATTCCTGTATGATTGACTACACCAACTGATCACACAGTTGTGACCTCACCCTACACTAATCCGCTAGTCACTCAACTAATATTGGTGAAACGGGTAAAATGCCTAATAATAATCAAATATTGAGCCAAGATACACCTAACTCGGATATGGAAAAGCTTTGGGTTAATGTATGCGAGAAAAATTGTGGAAGTTACGTAATATGAATACAATCAATAGTTTGGAAATATTGAAAAAAGTCATTTGCATCATAAAATACTTTCTACGATCTTCAACAAATTTCATTTGTATTTTAATTGAGGGATGTAAGAACTGTGGTTATTTTGAAGATCTCAACCTAGCTTTCATGAGACCAAATGAATTACTTCTAAAGAAAAAAGAAACTTTCGTTCACGGAAGTGCTGAAATATCAATAAGGGTTCGAAGAATTGTGTACAATAAATAATATGTTTAAAAATATTTGTTCAAACTGAAATAAAAAAAACATTTGCACAATTTCATTCATGTTGAAATCCTGCATAACTTGCACAATTTTCTCTATTGTTGAAATATGTGTGGTTGTTTTAATGTACTCTCATGACTGATTGTTTATTTTGAAAATAAAAAACTTCCATTGGATATGTATGTTGTTTTCATCTTTCCTAATTTTCATCTCCACCCGCAATAAATTTTATCACATCAAGGTTGGTAACAGATATATTTTAATACAAATCTGAAGTCGTCCTAGAAAATCAAGAATAGAGAATTCAGACATGTATTTCTCACACAAAAAGTTCAATTATACAGTTAATTGTTTCTCTGAATTGAATCAGCATTTCAATAATTTTTTTTTCAACATATTGGAATTTGAAATTAAAAAACCGCATTGTCGAAAATATTTTAGTTAGGTAGAGAATGTCTGAATATGCTGTCCATTAAATTTTAAGTGAGCCGTTGTCTGGTTCACCAGAACCGTCTAATGTGCCATAGTGCCATCCACCGTGAATCAGCCTGTATATTCCTTCCATGTACTTCATAATCATATTTCATATTTATAAGTTTCTTGAAATTTTCTTTCAATTCGTGTGTTACTAATTTGCACATCCTCGATATAGTTATTCACTAATTAAAATTCATTAAACGCATAATGATCGATATACTTTACTAGTCAACCTAGTAATAGTAAAATAATGAGTTCTTTGTTTTCCATTTTGTCTCTTGTTGTTTTATATCAGTGCTAAGGTGAATATCAATAATTCAACTGTCTTATTGACCTTTACTTCTTCTCAGTTTCCATTTTTATTCGTCTTCAGTAATTCCCTCTCTTTTTTCTATTCTTCTTTTTCCATTTATTGGCGTGTATTTAGTTCTCCAAATACTTTTCAAGTTGTACACATTGATCCGTCCCTGGACGTTTTTACTTGGATCAGTTATCCTATTCCTTGAATTCAGAGTTATTCCATATCCTCACCAACCTTCTACCCCAAGCTCCTTTGCAAATCAAATTACTTCAATATTCTCTACATTATAACATATATCACTCTTCAGTTGTAAATGTTCTTCACTCTTTATTATATTCCACATTTATTTTATTCTTCAAGCCTCCACCTTATGGAATTCAAAATAGACAAGCTAATGAACAGTGCTCCGAGGAAGACAGTTTATTTGGTGAGTAGTTTATAACCTTGTAGAATTTAAAAACCCAGTTTCACAAGAAAGTAAAAACTTCTTCCTATTGTAAAAATTATAACTAATCGAGTCAAAGTACATATTTTCTGCGAACTTCTTCAAAATAATGAACCTTTCCTCAACTAGAAACTGTTTCAAAAGTATTTTGAATTATTCTTTGAAAAACATTTTTTGTGGAATTAACAAGGTTGAATCAATAGAGAATCTGCTGAATTGTAATAAAGGGCAAACTGAAAAGTTCACCCTGAAAAGTTACAGCGCAATATACACCACTGAAGAATCCAATAGGCCTTTTCATCACAATTTTTTTTGTGCACATGCGTCAGTATCAGCCATCTTTTTCGTACTGTTTTTTGTAAACAACCATGTTGAAGAGCCTGCAACTCATGTTTCAAAAATTAAAATATAAATTAAAGTTTATTGATTGTAAAAAAGTGAAAAAAGTAGTAAGTCAAAATAATCAGAAAAAAATGTTTATACTCCATTATAATTATGTTATCTGTACGAAAAGGAACAACAAAACGGTGTTGTTAGGATACGAAACGA